ACGAAGCAAAAAATCAAATTCTAAATCAAGATAAATACCAAATCAAAATGGTTAAACAGACAAAGCAAATCCTTTTCAAATACCAAAATCAGACTGCAGAAGATAAAGTCTTAATTATACAACCCAATTCAAATTTTAAAAACTGAAAGATCTTCCCTGGTGAAACCAACAGAAACATGAAGAGGAGTTTGTGCTATCTGCATTTAAGGAAACAAGGATTCATTAGGGATAAGATAACCTTATTTGAATATTCATATTCAATATAATGACACTATCCAACATAATTATCGCAAAAAATGATAAAAGAAATGCCCTGCCGTTTTACTAACCGGAACTTCAAAGATAACCACCTAATCTCATCTATCTTTATTCCTTTCTTGAACTACCTCTTCTCTAGTTGGAAAAACTAAGGCTCATGAACTGACCAACGAAAAGTAAATGCCTCCAAAAAACTACATACTGTACGGGATTGGATCTTCAGTTTAGCCACGCTTACCATCTAGTGTTGGTGTTGAAGAACATTGTTTGAATCCTTGAAAAGGCTCGGGAATATCTGGAACAATTAACGGAAGTGAACCGAAAGTTCAATTTTTTTTTATAGAACTTTAAACGCGTTTTTGAACTAGTAAACAACCTTGGATAGCCAAAATTCATCACACATCATAGCAAAGCAATGAGTATTACTTGTCGGATAATTTCCTTTCTAAAAAGGTAATACGGGTTCAATTCAGAGCTCGAACGACAAAGTTACAAATTTCTGATACGTCATTTTTTTGGATTATGATGTTAATTGGCTAAACGTTTAATTAGGGATTAATTAAATTATTTTAAATTTACAGATTATTTCAAACAGTTGTATTTGTTTGAATTTGAATCAAATAGTTATCCCTGTTATGAAACTGTCATCAAATTGCCATATACTTCTAATGTGCATATGCATTTCATAAGTCAATTTGCAATACTTATTCATACAAATTTCCTAAGAGAGAAACTATTAGATGATATGGGGTGACTGATGCTGCATATGACTAATGCTGCATAAGTCAGGGTGACTGATGCTGCATGAGTCACCCCACTGATACTGCATATGGATATTAGACGATATGGAGTGACTGATGCTACCAGATTTTATGTTCCCTCTTTCAATGGAATTCTCTAGTAAGTCTAATCCCTTAATTTGAGGAAGATTGACATCTAGATGACTTGTTGATAGTTGTGTGCTAGCTACTTGTTGCACTCTCTTAATTTAAGGAGTGACAGCTTTAGGTTTACGGGGTTAGTAGGATTTGCCAAGGTAGGGTTGCTTATAACCTTCTACCTCATTATATACCCTCCCTTGTACATTCAATCAATCTATGAAAAATACATTGAAACTTAAAGCTAAAATTTTCACATAGTATCAGAGTGGGTTCTTTCGTAACCTGGTTCTGCCATTCTTGCTGCTGCGTTTTTCCTTTCATCGTTGAGCCATGGCTGAAGAATGTTCAATAAATCGCGATGAAGAAACTCAGCATAGCCTCTCCCCAAATTTCTCAGACGTTGAGGTTAATACCAATCAACGTTTGTGTTCAATTCTCTTTAATGAGTTCAATTATCTTCCTTGGTCTCGAGTTGTTTCACTAGCTCTTGGAGGCAGAGGGAAATTAGGGTTTGTTAATGGAAGCGTGGTGGCTCCAGATAGCTTCTCGTCAACATACAGTGCATGGCTTTGCAAGGATCAGCTTGTCATGTCCTTACTCCTCAACACCATGGAGAAACATGCTGTTGAGATTTTCAGTTATTACAATTTGTCAATTGATCTTTGGAAAGCCTTGCAGGATATGTATGGAAATCAAAATAATTATGCACGAGTTTTTCAACTTAAGAAGGACATTGCTAGTGCCCAGCAAGAAGGAAAAGCATTTGTTCAACACCTTGGGAGTCTCAAGGCCATATGGAATGAGTTAGATGTTTATCTCCCTCATACCACAGACCCTACTACTCTTCTAAAATGAGCTGAGGAAGACAGAATCTATTAACTGTTAGGGAGTTTGAACTCTGAATACGAGGACCTAAGGAGTCACATATTGATGAGTCAAGATTTGCCCACCTTCAACAATGTCTGTGCAACTATTCAACGAGAAGAAGCAAGGAAGAAAGTGATGAATGCTAAGCACAGATCAAGATTGATTGAGACTCGTGCATATGCCTCAAACTACAAGAACTTAGAGGCAAATGGGTACAAGGGAAGAAATACACACCTAAAATGCAAATACGGCAATGGTGTTGGTCATGTGGAAGACAAGTGCTGGGAACTTCATCTTGAACTCAAGCCTAAATTTAGCAAAGATGAGAAGATGATACCAAGATCCTCACAACAATTTCACTTTCAACCCAAGGCTCAACTTGCTAATGCTTACTCTTCTATTGTCTCACAAGGATCCATGGAATTCACTGCCAATCCATTGTCACTCATCAATGAATTTGCAGCCTATCTTCAAAGTAAGGGACATGGAGGAGGTTCACAACTTCAAGGCAAGGATGACTGGCAATCATATAGCTATGTTGGGACAGTTTGCCAGCTTTCTTGCTGGAAATGAGAAGGTATCACGAGAGGAAGCACCAGGTATACTTAAAGCCTTCACTGATACCCTATTGACTAGTACTAAAAATGATTGTTGGGTAATAGATTCAGGCACCACAGATCATAGGACAAACAAAGTCACAAACTTGCATCATTTTAAACGTTTTTCGAGTCCTTCACATGTTTCAGTTGCAAATGGAAAAAATGTCTTAGTTTTGAGCAAAGTGGAAGTAACCTTACTCTCACATAAAACACCCTTCACTGCCTTATATGTACCAACCTTTCCTTTCCAACTTTTGTCAATTGGAAAAATCACAAACGCGCTAAATTGCCTATACTATTTTCTCACCAAATAATGTAATTTTTCAGATGTTCTCACCATGAAGATGATTGGTGAAAGGGGTCTTCATAAATGGACTTTACTACTTGTGCAAGAATGCCAGCTTTTCTCAGGCTCTTTAAGCTTAATCGAAGTCCATAGATGAAAACCAACTTTGGCATAAGAGATTAACTCATCCCTCAAAAGTTGTCTTGTCAAAACTATTTCCACATTTTTGTAAATCTCATTTTACTTGTGATACTTTTCAAATTTCTAAGTTTACTAGACTACCTTTTGGTAATTCAATGTCTAGGACAAGTAAACCTTTTGAAATGGTACACACTGATGTATGAGGACCAGCAATTGAATCAATGGAAGGTTTTAAGTATTTTGTTCTATTTGTTGATGACTTCTCTCGAATGAGTTTTTTATACCTTATGAAATCAAAGAATGAAGTCCTAAACATTTTCAAAGACTTTCATCTACATGTTCAAACTCAATTTCAATCAAACATTAAAGTTTTAAGATCTGACAATGGAACTGAATTTCTATCCAACAACATGCTTCAATACATAAGTTCTCAGGGCATCATACATCAAACCAGTTGTGTAGGAACTCCCCAACAAAATGGAGTTGCCGAGGGAAAGAATAGGGATCTTTTAGAGAAGACTTGTGCCCTTATGCTTCACATGAATGTTCCAACGAAATTTTGGTCATTTGCAATCCTCATTGCTACTTATCTCATCAATCAAGTCCCAAGTTGAGTGCTAGAGTTCAAATCTCCTCATGAAGTACTCAAGGTAGAAAAATTGATTCGACACACCTCAAGGTATTTGGATGTGTTTGCTTTGTTCACATTCAAGCCTTGAATCATGACAAATTAGATGCCAGGACTACCAAGTGTGTGTTTATGGGTTACTATTTCACCCAAAAGGGATATAAGTGCTTCAATCTAGCCACTAAGAAGTGCATTGTGTCAAGAGATGTGAAGTTTGAAGAAAACTGTTTTTATTTCACTTCCAAAGGAACTACTACAAGTTAGGGGGAGGAATTATTTAAATTATTTCCATTCCCTCAGAACTTTAATCTTTCTGTGTTGGAAGAAAACTCTATCTCTGTGATTGCTGATGGTGAAGAAGTGCAAATTGACTCAGTCATTGCTAGTCTCATTCCTACTAGTGAAGAGAATGATGAGTATCACTCTGATCACTCTAAACCTCTCACAGAGCCTCAAGTGATTAAAAGAAATCCTTCTCGAACAAGGAAACCTCCAACTAGGTTGCAAGATTATGTTACTTATGCATCACGGCACCCTATCACTGAAAGTATCCGTTTTCGTGAGTTCTCTACATCTCATGCTGCATTTCTTAGTGAAATTGATAAACACTGTGAACCTAGAAGTTTCTGAGAAGCATCACTCTTTCCACAATGGAATCAAGCCATGGTAGATGAGCTTCATGCACTGGAAGAAAATAACACTAGAAGTTTAGTTCAACTAGCACCAGGAAAAAAGGCTGTTGGAAGTCGTTGGATTTACAAGATCAAATTCAAGGCTGATGGTTCTATCGAGAGACACAAAGCTAGACTTGTAGCTCGAGGTTTCACCTAAACCCTTGGGTAAATTACAAAGAAACATTTGCACATGTGGCCAAGATGAATTCCGTGAAGGTTTTACTTTCAGTTGTTGTAAATTGTGGGTGGTCCCTCTATCAAATGGATGTGAATAATGCTTTTCTTCATGGAGAGTTACAAGAAGAAGTGTATATGCAGCCTCCTCTAGGCTATAATGGTCTTGAAGGCAACATGGTGTGTAAATTGTACAAGGCAATATATGGATTGAAACAATCCCCAAAAGCTTGGTATGCCAAGCTCAGTTCAGTACTTGAGAAAGTTGGTTTTATGTGAAGTAATGCTGATTCCTCACTGTTTGTAAGAACTGGTACCAGTGGGAGATAGTGCTGTTGAAATTGAGGCACTGAAGCGTTCATTACATCAAACATTTGCTATCAAAGATCTGGGGCGACTCAAGTATTTTTTGGGTATTGAAATGGCAACAACTTCAAATGGGCTATTTCTACATCAATGCAAATATGTACTAGATCTTTTTAAGAAGTAAACATGCTTGACTGCAAACCTACCTTCACTCCCACAGATTGCAAACTGAGGCTCAATGCAGATGGAGAAACCATGCATGATGTGAGTTATTGCCAATGGTTAGTAGGGAAACTTATATATCTCACCATCACATGTCCAAATATCACATATGCAGTGAGCTTGGCAAACCAATTTATGCACTCTCCTACTGTTAATCACCTTCACATTGTTAAAAGAATTTTGCGCTACCTCAATGGGTCAATAGGGCAAGGAATCATCATGCGTAACAATAAGTCCACTACTATTAGTGGCTACACAGATGCAGATTGGGCAGGGAATGCACTTGATAGAAAATCTACCACAAACTATTGTACGTTTTTGGGGGGACAGGGCAATCTTGTTACTTGGAAGAGCAAGAAGCAACAAGTAATTGCTCGTTCTAGCGCAGAGGCTGATTATCGAGCCATGGCAGCCATTGCCTGTGAACTTATTTGGCTTAAAGGGTTTCTTTCAGACTTAAGGTTCCCTACTCCGTCCTCTATGTCCCTTATGTGCAACAATCAAGCAGCCATACACATCACTGCCAACCCTGTGTTTCATGAAAGAACCAAACATATGGAAGTGGACTGCCATTTCATTAGAGCTCAAGTTTAAACTCAAGTCATACAGACCATCTTCACACAAAGCCATGATCAACTGGTGGATCTCTTTACCAAGGCACTGGCATCAACTCCATTTCATCATTTTTTGGGCAAGCTTGCCTCAATTAATCTCCTCGATCCAGCTTGAGGGGGAGTATAAGACGATATGGGGTGACTGATGTTGCATAAGTCAGGGTGACTGATGCTGCATAAGTCACCCCACTGATGCTGCATATGGATATTAGACGATATGGGATGACTGATGCTGCCAGATTTTATGTTCTCTCTTTCCATGAGATTCTCTATTAAGTCTAATCCCTTAATTTGAAGAAGATTGACATCTAGATGACTTGTTGATAGTTTTGTGCTAGCTACTTGCTGCACTTCCTTAATTTAAGGAGTGACAGCTTTAGGGTTTATCGGGTTAGTAGGATTTGCCAAGGTAGAGTTGCTTGTACCCTTCTACCTTATTATATATTGCCCTTGTACATTCAATCAATCTATGAAAAATACATTGAAACTTAAAGCTAAAATTTTCATAGAAACATACAGAACTTTGGTAGAATCAAAGTTTTGATGCTAAAACTTTGATTATAGTTGAATCCTAGTGGAGTAGACGCTTGTAGAACTACAAGCACTAAGTAGCGGCGAAATTCTGTTTCAAGGACCTTGCAAATCCGCAAGCTTCTACTTGCAAGCTCCGTTAGTTCATTGTGTTTGATATTTTATTCTCTATGTTATATTCCTATGTATTTCGTAGTATAATTTTGTTGTATTAGATTTTATTTTCATTAAATTAATTAATACTGATTGTTGGTCTGCCAACGATATTGAACAGAATTTATGGATTAACAATTAGTGAATGTTGTGGGCGTCAGTCGCGCTAAGAATCCTCATACTGAAAAGCTAGAGAAGTTCAAGAGTGTTGACTTCAAGAGATGGCAACAAAAGATGTTGTTTTATCTCACTACAATGAACTTGCCATATGTTGTCAAAGAGGAAGTTCTGAAGGTTGATGAGAATCCAATGACTAAGGAAACTTTGAGTGCTATCGAGGCATGAGACCATTTTGAGTCGTATTCTAGGAACTATATTCTGAATGGGTTGGATGATAATCATTATGATATTTATTCAACTTGTAAGACAACCAAGGAGTTATGAGAATCACTAGAAAAGAAGTGCAAAATTGAAAATTGCAGTTCGAAGAAATTCGTGATTAGCAAGTTTCTGAAATTTTCCATGGTTGATTCCAAGCCTATCATCACCTAAGTCGAAGAATTGCAATAGTTAATTTATGAACTTCATGCTGAGGGTTGTGAGATCAATAAGCACTTCCAAGTCAGGGCAATTATAGAGAAACTACCACCGGAAGGACTTTAAGCTATATATACCTCAAGCATAAGCGCATAGAGACGAAGATGGAGGATCTTATTCTTAGGCTCCATGTTGAAGAAGATCACAAAAAGGGTGACAAGAATGAAGTGTCTGCCTTCGAAGCCAAAACCAATTTCGTTGAGGGAAATGTTGTTAAGCCAAAGAAAACTTTCTAGAAAACAAAGGCAAGGGAAAATTTGCCGCTCATGGACCCAAGGGCAAGAAATTCAAGATATTTAATGTCTCGTGATATGTATATGGAATACCAGGCTAGATGTCAATCCAAAAAACAACCAAGCAAATATAACTGACGATTTTGCTGCTGTTGTTTGAAAGACCAATATGGTTTCTAATATAAGTGATTGGTGGGTTGATACAAGTGCAAATAAGCACATATGTGGTGCCAGAAACATGTTCTCTGATTACCATCCTATTTCCGGTGGTGAGAAGCTGTATATAGGCAATGCTGCTGCATTTGTCATTTAAGGAAAAGGCAAAGTGGTATTGAAATTTACTTCAGGAAATAACTTAACCCTGCAAGATGTGCTTCATGTTCCAGAAATTTGGAAGAACCGCGTGCCAGGCCCTGTGCTGATTAATAGAGGCGAAATTTTGTTTCAAGGACACTGCAAATCTGCAAGCCTCTATTTGCAAACTCTGTTAGTTCATTGTGTTTCATATTTTTATTCTCTATGATTATTTATGTATCTATTTCATAGTATAATTTTGTTGTATTAGATTTTATTTTCATTAAATTAATTGATACTGGTTGTTGTTCCGCCAACATCTCAAAATGAATACTCAATTAACTCAAATTAGTAGCATGCTCATCCAAAGAAAAGAAACTCTCATACCCGTCATCATTATGTAGGGTCATTTTTGAGAGTGTATGTTGATTAGTGTAGAATATCGCTAACAATAAAAAAAATTACAAATATTCAGTTAAGCTATGTTATGGAAGGAGACCCTAATTATGCCAAAGATTAATTATTAAGGCAAGCCAAGTACAACCAAACATGCTTCTCATTTTCCCTTTTATCCTTTTGTTTTTTTTATTTTTTATTTTTTTTATTTTTTTTTAATGGGACTTTTTGGGTGACAACACAAACGTAATATTCCTTCCTTGTGTCCACCCCACCACCCCCCCCTCCCCCCTTCCACTCTCTCTCTCTCTCTCTCTCTCTCAAATTAGGATCATCTCTTTTTGTTTCTTTAGTCCATTCCAGATAAGCCAAAAATGTTATTTATTTTCCTTGCAATATACGTAGCTTAATAAGGTTCGTTAAAGTACGTAGTCGCACGTTCGCAGGCAAAGCCACACAATCTGAAATTTTAAAAGGATCATCGACAACAATAACAAAAAGGATCTTTTACAAAGAGATGACCGCGTGACACCTATTAGACTATTAATATTCAATAATAAAAAATTATGATCAAGACGTAACTAGAAACAAATAATTCGAACAATAATATATGAAGAAAGCGGCAAGTCCATGGTAGCTAGCCATGTGATGTGCCATCACCACCATCCACATAATGTTAAAATCCCCTTAAATAATTAATGTCTCTAAAAAGACTAGAAGAAGTCAAAATATGTCGAAGATAACTCTAACGTGTAGTAGCTCGCTAATCAGCATATACAGTCAAGGAACCTCTTGATTAATAATGTTCATGGTTGTGGGTTTATAACTAATCTAAATTATTTGATAAAATAAAACATAACTGAAATTAAATATTTATTACAATTTATATGCACAAATCGCATATCAATACATTATTTATGGAATCACATGCACACGTGGTGTTTGTTGATAAAATTAATGAGACTTTAGAACAACATAAAGTGTTAAGTTTGTGACATTTGTAAGGTTGTTCTAGTCACCTACTAAAGGTAATATGTAGACAGACAAATAAGAGAAACAAACACAAGATATACGAGGTTCACCCCAAGTTGGGCTACGTCCACGAGGGTAAAGAAGTTCTCATTAATAATGTACTATGTACATGATACAAAGGATTATGATCATTAGTGAATTCTAATAATGGATTGGGTACAATAATGGTAATTAGGGATTAATTGTAGGAGAATGGTCTCCTTTTATAATTTAAGGAGAGTCGCATGCTTTCATCTGTGGTCAATGTGGGACTCTAGAAACTCTTGTGCTAACCTCAAAATAAATCCTTCAGTGGGTCTCTGAAGGTATGAAGTTGACTAGTACTCGGTAGTTTCAAGATTAGTGAAGTGTGGTATAAAAGATTTCTTCGAAGAAAAGACAAAAACATTTTATATACGAACACATTAAGGGTTTTTCTCGTTTGAAGAGAGTATAAATCATTAGTTTGATTGAATTGACGAAGTTGTCCCTACAAAATAATTTAAACATCTTTAGTTAAGGTGGAGAACCAAGCGTGATGAAAAGGGGGGGGAAGGGGGGGGGGAAGGTTTGGCCAATGAACCTCCCATGTCCCATGTCTAAGTCAGTTTCACTGAAAAGAACGTGAGACCATTACTACAACTAAATTAGGGGTAAAGTTTAGGGACTATTACAGATAACCCTTATCAAATTTACCTTTAATTCCCTTTCCTTATGTCCTTTCCATAAGTAGAGGAGCTTGGTAAAGTCATAATCAACAGCTCGAATCTTCTTCTTGGTTAAACTGCACGTGGAATGAATGTAGGCCTCACCAATTTAACAAAGACATTCTCACCTCTTATGAATAAAATACCTTTCTCATCTCTTTCCTCCCATATGGCCAACGATCATCCTCTTTTAATCCAACTGTACTGGTATGCTTCTTCGAGGTTTACTAGTAACCCATTTTCTAATAATAGGTATTTTACTTCAAAGAGAGAAACATTTATCATATGGATGAAATCTCATGTAATGCAAGGAAAGGGATGCACTGCGTTTGATGAAAATGGCGAGCTTGTTTGCCGTGTCAATGATAACTACGACAACAAGCACGTGATGGAGTTTTCAACTCCCATTGTCCCACATTGGAAACAACAATTTGTCAAAGGCGTCAAGTCCTTTTTATTAATGATTAGGTGTTGGACCATTTGGAATGAGGATTGAGGTGTTGGCCATTAATTGTGTAGATCAGGCTTGATGATTATACTATAATATTAATATTAATTAATCAAGACAAAGGCCCTTGGGGCAATTGGGGTCAAGGGATTAAAATTAATCTGATCAATTAGTTTTAATTTCAAATTAAGTTTTTAATTAAATTAATTAAAAACGTTTTGATTAATAGACACGATTCTTTGGAAAGAGTTGTATAGCTTTAGATACATCCAAAAGGTGTTTGAAGAGGTATGAAAGAGCCTATATAACTGGGGACACACCACGACCGACATCAAGGCGTGCTGGCCGTCACGTAGCCATGTGCACAGTGTGGAAGCAATAATAATATAAAAATGAGAATAAATAAAAACCAAACTAACTAGAGCACTAAATAAGATAAGGTGCAAAACGAAATAAGTGTGAATTCACAACCAGAGCACAAGTAGCCTAAGTGCAGTCCAGCAGGACAAATACTAATTATACAACACCCAAAGCTGACCATACAATGGTGATAATCTGTCAGAGCTACCGTGGATTCCTCGCAAGCCACCAAAAAGAACTCCTAACTATA